TCAAGACTCTGTCTTATTTATCCCACCAGTAACCTAACTTCCTCCCTTCTGTCTGTGCTTGGTCTTTCCATCCATCTCTTTCAGTTTTTTATTCTTGGCCTGTTTCATTTCCACTGCACTGCAGTGAAACGTCAGACATATAGGCTGCTCTGGAGCAAGACATAAATTTTTTTCAAGTAACCACATCTCTGCAAAAAATGACAATGACTCATTTTAGGCCAGAGGTGGGCAACATTTTTTTCCCAAAGGGCCACATCAACACGTTTAAAGCAATCAAAGGGCCGCATAGAGAATTGGAAAATAAATCATCTTTATTACCGGTAATCTAGAAGACCTTTTTCAGGTCTTGTCTTATTGTAGCATACTTTATAAAACGTGTCTTTCCATTATACTTTAGGAATATATGACATATTCTGTAAACTGGCTCTTGTGACAATATATAATACATGCTAGCTTAACATGTTATACATGTTAGCGGAAATATGCAAAACAAACGTATGCATTTGTGTTTCTAAATCTTTAAACTTCAGTCTAGTTTTGGAAACACAATGATTTAAAAATGTTTTTAAAATGTTTTGCATAAGATGTTTAATTTAAAAGTCCTTAAGTCTCTTTGATAAATTGCAGGTTTTTTTTAAACTAATGATATTGGGGGCTTGATGGAGATTGTCCAAGGGCCCTTTTTGGCCCTCGGGCCTTAAATTGCCCACTTCTGCTATTGGTAATATTCAGGCAGTTTTACAACACATCCTTTCTGAGAACAGTTGAGTACAGAAAGGCAATGCTCCACAAACTGCCTTTCTAGTTAATGTTACATGCAACTCATTGAATAAAGCTTTATTTTATATTTTGCAAATTATTGTGTTCATCCTGTGTTCTGCTAATTGTTTTCTTTCTTTAAAATTACAGGTCAGGACCAAGCCCTGAACATTTATATGACAAGAGATTTCCCTGCTTTATTACTGTCCAGTCAACGTGATTTAAAACAAATTGTAAAACATGTTTGTGTGTTTGGTACATTTAATCTTTTGGGGTTATGCAAAACAGGTTTTGAACCATTAAAATGTTACCTGTTGTAGATATCTGATTGAATGACCTCACTTTGAAGAAACAGTTTACTTTGGACTGTACTGACGAGTCAATGTCTGGTTCGAGTGGAGCCAAGACCAAAGTAGATTGTTTCCATCTTTAAAAAAATTCTTCATCTGTTCTGATCACTATTGTTTGTTTATCATTTACTCTGTTATTAGTTTTGCATTACATGGTTATTCTGGCAAAAATAAGATATTCTTGCTGTAAATGCTACCACTAACTGCTGCTTCCACTGTTTGCACTTGCAAAAATTAAAAAATTAAAAAAACACAGAATGCTTTTTAAATAACCACCCAATGTGAAATTAACAGCAATAAAAACGTTTATAAAATACAGTAGTTTTCATATGAACTGCTATGAAGTATTTGAGATTGGAGTTGTTTTGAGATGGCAACAATCCACTTTAGTCGTGACCTCAATCGAACACAATATTAAGCTTTTGTTTTTGGAGAATTATCAAAAACTCTTACAAAAATGGGAAACATGAAGTAGCGTGAAGACATTCTTGCCACATATGTGTTGTTCTCCCAGTAACCATTTTCAGACTGAATTTTTCACCTTTGAGTTCTCCATTGATGAAGATTAACGAGAGCCTGGCTCTGCTCTGACTTACTGCCACCTCCACCTTTATTCACGTCTGTCTAACACCATGTTTTGTCTTTCACAGGTCACTTGGACTTTTTTACTTTGAGGCACATGTGAAAGAGTCATGTGCGCTCTGACCATATTATGTATATCTAATCACTTTGCAGAGTCAAGACACTTCTAATACCCGTTCCTGTTATTGCTGAGCTAAACTGCTCCTCTGGCAGTTCAGAGGCCGTGCAAGTTTAATGCTTCTTATGAGGAAGAGCAGAAATAAGGGATAAGGCGCTGAATCTTGTGTGTGTAAATGTGAGGTTTGCAGCAGCGCTGCAGTAATCAGCTCGACCCAACACGTACGCTTTTGAAGCTGCTGCAGGCTGACACTGCATCATGCTGTCAGCAGAGCAGGATTTTGTGCTTACATAAAAAGATGATTTACTAATTTTAGTCCAAAATGCACATGTAGAAAATAGTCTGAAGAGTTGATCCTAAAACCCTTAACTATATGAGTAAGTTAAGGAGCATAACGATGTAGACACTGAGTTTAGGGGCCAGATTTAGACAACGTGGACGGTTAAAATTAGATCTAAGGATATAGGGGCGTTTATGTTGATTTTTTCCCTCCACTTTTTCAGATCTGTCCTCTGAGGCATCAGGTCACGGTCAATTAAGCATCCTAAGCAGCACGTGTGGACAGCTTCAGGCTTTAATCTTGCTAACAAGTGGCGCTTGACACAGGGTGCAGAGGGCACGACTGCTTCAATCCTATTTTGACCCTGTTACAAAACAAAAGCGTGGCCTGCACACAAATCTGACCTGAAACTACACGTAATTCCTCCAGTTTACCAGGCTATGCATAATACATTTGCACTTTAGCACTGAGTCTAAACAGTTATGATGCCACGAGTTTCAGCCAAGCTAAAGCTTACATTGTTCTTTATTTTGATTGGATGCTTTATACAACATTGTTTCCTCATCTAAAATACAAAGTTTACAGTCATGAGAAAAAGAAGACACTCAATTTGTCAATTCCTGGGTTTTAAATATGACATTATAAAACTTTACCAAGTCCTAAAACTATTTAAAGCTAATCTCAAGTGTTTAATATACACATAACAGATTCCACCATATGAAAACATATGAAACAAATAAAGCCAATAAAAAGGCTGTATCTGGAAAAATAAATCCACCCTCACTGTTTCCATATGATTTAGGAGTGTATGTATTAGCTAGGTATTGCTGATCAGGATGATTTACTGATCATCTGCAGGTGTGACCACCTCTATAAAAGAAGGGGTTTGTTATTTTACGGCTCTGGAGCATACAGGTGTGTGTTAAGACAACGCCAACAAGGAAGGCATTATAGCCTTAAAAAAACAGCTCTTGCTGCCCATCAGGGTTAAAGGTCGCTGACAAACAATTTGGACTCCATCAGTTTACAGTGAGAAAGATGATTCAAAGACAGTGTTCAGTTTCCCAAGAATGGACGTCCCAGCAAATTAATCCTCAAAGAAATTGCAATACCCCAAGAACTTAATGGACTCAGCCTCAGGTAGCGTGTTAAATGTTAAAGTTCAAGTACGTCTTGTTTAGAAGGATTGTCAGAATCTGTCTGACAGCTGAAGCGTGGACCAAACTGGGTCATGATGCAGCAGCAAATGCACAAAAGAACCAGGGTGCTTCAGTGGTCCAAAGTCCAGACATCAACCTGTTTGAAATATTGTGGAGACCCTGAGAGCTGTGCAGAAATAAATATCCACAATCCTCAAAGAACTAAAGCAACAATGGGAAGAAGAGTGTGCCAAAATTCCTGGGCAACAATGTGAGAGGCTGATAAAGTCAAACAGAACCCTTCATCAAGTTATTGTTCTACATGCTGTAGGCATGGGGGGTGGGGGCTTAGTTTTTCCACACAGCTATCCCATTATAGCTCAGTATTTGTTTATTAATAATAAGAAGGTGGAATTAAGTTGACTGTGTTGTGACCACCAAAATAAAAAATGTTGTTCAGCGTATGTACTGGATTTTTCCGTGACTGTACTAACTGGAACCGGTGTCAATTTTATCACCTTATAGTGAAAAAAAAAAAAAAAAACACAAGTCGCCATCGAGTCCAAACTTCTCTAACATGCAAGTGCAGTAAGACACTAGGAACGTAAGAAATGACATTTATGAGTAGAGCAATGCTTTAACTTAGTCTGCGGTACTTGTTAAGACATTCAGAGTAAACCTCAGGAGGTTTGTCTTAATTCCCCCGCGCCTTGAGAATGTCTTATCAGTCACATTTTGCTGACTTTCTTCTTCTCTTTGAAGAACTACTTTCCTCAAGATTGTCAAGAGGATGTCCAAGTTTCACTCTCTTTTCTTTGAGGGACCACAAGATAATTTGTCATATCTTCATGGACATTAGTGTTCATAGTCACATGCCTCACAGTAAAGCTCAGTTCCACAGACAGAACAGACATCCCACGTGATATTTTTGCCCAGGTCACGGTCCAGTGATACTCAGTAAGTGTATAGACTTTTTTTTAGCTGTTCCCCCTTCTTCCCCTCTCTGTGTAGCATTTATCTCTCTGCATGGTTTTGGCAGTGATGTGCTTTTCCCAGCATTTAGCCAAGAGAGGGAGCGAGGAGGGGAGAGGTAGAGAAAAGGAGAGCCTTTTCAAGGGAGGAATGAAGGACGCTTTATTAAAGGAGGCAAGGCCTTTTGAGAGGTTGTACACTCCCCCTCCTCCTCAAACTCCCTTCCATGCCCCATGTGTCTGGCCCTATTGTCACTGGGCGGTGGCAGGAACCCCTGCTCCAACACACTCGCACACAAACACCCCAACTTGGTGCTTTGTCACTGTAAGTCACCTCAGAGACTGATGCAGAGCGGCTACGTTAAAACAACCCCATTCTCCACAGTAGCCCTTCACCATTCTGCTACTGCCTGGTCCACTGGAAAAAAAAACACATTTATTTGGCTGTCAGAAAACATACAGGAGACACAGAGATGGGGCGTGGCATGCTGGGAGGAAGGGACAAGCAATTGAAGGGATAAAGTTGGGAGGGAAATGTGAAAGGTTTAGATGGTAGAGAAGGTGCAGCTGAAAACAGACGGAGGGTTAGGGTTAGGGTTAGGGTTAGGACAGAAAACAAAATATGGAGACAAAGAAGAAAGAAAACTGGTTAACTGAGGCAAAGTTTGAGAAAATGAGTGGAAAGACTGGGGCGAAAGTAACAAACAAGGAGCAGGATGCTGTCAGGATGGGGATCAGTGGGGTCCCTGGTTGTTTGTAGCTGTGCGTGAAATGTGTGCCTTTAG